AGTTTTCATGGTTAGTAGCCTAAACGATAAGCTAAGCCTAATATTTCGATGACGAGGAACCCACTTTTAGACTAATAATGGTTGGAGACGGCTTGAATGAGTAACGAAGAAAAACTTTAATAAAAGTTTAACATAACAGCAAATGTACAACGTTTCGACAAGTACCTGATGATGAAAGAACCTTGTCGAAACGTTGTACATTTGCTGTTATGTTAAACTTATATTAAAGTTTTTCTTCGTTACCCATTCAAGCCGTCTCCAACCATTATTAGTCTCAAAGTGGGTTCCTCGTCATCGAATTACAGTTATTTTGTTGAATTTGTATACACTTACCAAAAAATGACAGGCAAGCTAGTAGAAACAAGCCTCGTATCTGGAAAACCATTAGACGAACCATTATATTCATTTCCTGAGGTTGACAAGGAACAAGCACAGACCATACAGGTATGATACACGAAAGTAACTGGTTTCAACAAGACTGGTTTACTCTAACTACCTGTAAGTAGGTCGCACGTTAAGGCTGGGGAGATTACGCTCACGAACAATCAAAGCATATAATGTGACCTTTTCTGGCGCGGCTTGCTGGTTTGACGTTATGCCTGCAAGCACTTTAATATTTACCGTATTTTTCGGTATAATCGACTTTTCAAACTCTAAATTTTGTAGATAATGATTTTTAAATTTAACATAAACGTTTTCCTTCTTGCATTACTTCAACTCTAAACATTTATAAATGACGAGTAAACATTTGTATAACTTAAACTTCCGAGATCACATTTAAGTTTGTTTGTTTTGAATTTCGCGCAAAGCTACACGAGGGCTATCTGCGCTAGCCGTCCCTAATTTAGCAGTGTAAGACTAGAGGGAAGGTAGCTAGTCATCACCACCCACCGCCAACTCTTGGGCTACTCTTTTACCAACGAATAGTTGGATTGACCGTCACATATAACGCCCCCACGGCTGAAAGGGCGAGCATGTTTGGTGTGACGGGGATTCGAACCCGCGACCCGCATATTGCGAGTCGAGTACCCTAACCACCTGGCCATGCCGGGCCAGACATTTAAGTAGAACAAAGGTACAAAAGTTCATTGGAGCTGCACAAGGAGACTTGAAAAAAAGCTTATGGTCAATTCGGTTTTCTATGATTCCAGTTCTGTTTGTCATTTTTATCATGAAAACAGCCATTTATTTTGAGGTATGGCTAAAAACATCTGAACAATTGGATTGGAAGTCTTCACCAACTTCAAATACTTATTTCTTATCTCGTTAACTGTAGCATGAGATATATCCATCGTCATCAGTAATGGATATTTTGAGGTCAGAAGGATGTATCTCTTTTGTAACCATAGGCTTAACTTTGTGGATGAGAGTGTTGCTCTGGATTAACTTGAGGGGTGTAAATAAGCGGTATTTTTGAAAAATAAACAAAACCATAATGGAAGTTGTGTCCTTATAATGATATTGTTGCGTCATCGAGATCACGTGACAATTCTCACGCTCTCTTGTTTCTAGAACTATTTCGTATCTTGGCGAATGGTCTAGTATTTGTTAGATGGGGTAGGCTGG